AAAAAAAAAAAAAAAAAAAAGTAATTTATTACGAAGAACATACTTCTTTTCCTCAGACCATTTTTCATCTTGCTTTTTTTCCTTTTTTGTTTTTGCCGGCCGAGACCTTGCCTGGGCCATTGACTGGTGGCCAGGCCACCCGGGCAGCCAAGGTGGCCCTGGCAGCCAGGCTGGTAGCCCACGCATCCGTTTTTTCTCTCATGCACAGAAACTTGCCTGTCATTGCATCGAGACTGGGCAGCAGTAATCGTCATCTCTCCATCTGCACCTGCAGAGTGGGATCCAGACCTCCTACGGCCTGCTGTGAAACGGTATTCACCTGTTCGCAGTAGCCGATGCAGACCCCAGGGCTCGATCCCTGGTCTTTACCTTACCTGTGTATAGTATCTGTGTCGACCCCAGGAGTTGAACCCACGACCTGTGTCTTTTTCCCAGTTGGTAGACTGTCGTAGGGTCTGTAGATTGTAGGGGTTCGATCTGTAAACCTGTCAAATAGTGGTCTTAGGGAGTTCTAGAAGTCGTAGCTGTAGAACCTCTGAAAGGTCAAGGTCGTAGCTGCTACAGCTCTGAAAGGTCAAGGTCGTAGCTGCTACAGTATACGAAAGGCCAGGACTGAAACTTCCGGAAGGTCCTAGTAAGTGGCCTTTCGAAGCTGCTCACGTTTCGGCTGAGGCAAGTGGGCAAGTGGTGGAGTCTACCCGTGCTGAGTCAGCGGTCCCAGTCCCAGTCAGTCCTAGTCCAGTCAAGAAAGTACCGTATGGGACTGTGAGCACCAAAGGGCATGGGGAAGGGCCAGACCAACGAGCTACAGAAATATAAATCAAGAGGCAGCGCCCAGCCATTCAGTCATTCCTGCGTAAGCCATGCGGAAGCGCTGCCACAGCGACTTGTGCGAGGTTGTCTGCAGTGAGCCCGAAGACGAAGTGGGCGAGAAGGAGAGCTTAGCCATAGCGATAGGAGCAGTAGCGGCCATAGCCGCCATAGCTGATAGGAGAGTGTAGCGTGTGTGTGTATGCGTGTGTGTACAGTGTGATGCGTGTGGGATATCCAGTGTGATCCAGTGTGTGTGTGTGAACAGCAGAGTTGGGTTGGTGACGAACAGAGAGTTGTACAGGCGTTGTTGCGCCATAGCTGTTCGAAGTGAGCTTGTATCTGAACTGCGTTCTTGGCAACCATATCTCTGAGTTCTGAGTGGGCGCTTGTCGCCAGATTGTTGCGCAACCTGTTTACATGCATGTGAAGTGTGAAAGATAGCGAGTCTGATTGCAGCTGAAGCAGGGAGAGCTCATCCGAGAGCGACATGTGACAGGAAGAACAGGAAAGCAGATTGGAGCAGATCAATAGGAATACCAAAACTCAGAGATCGTACAGTGACTACCGGTACTGGCGGACAAATACTGGAAGAAAAACGAAGAGAAGAGAAACAGGACAGATTTAAAAAAAAAAAAAAAAAAAAAAAAAAAAAAAAAAAAAAAAAAAAAAAACGGGAGAGGCCCGGAGAGCTAGAAGATGAGACTCACCATTTTTGGAGCTGGCAGTTCGGTTCACAGCTGTGATTAATATACCGTGAAATGTTGCCTTTGAAATTTGCATCAATCACTAAGTTCTTGCTAATTTCACACATGTAAAAATTTTCAGCTCCTCGCGCCTTCAGGTCCCAGAGTCTCTTCTCGCACAGGGCATCGTCGATAACTGCATTTCATCAGAACAATCACACAGCCCAAAACAATGCATGCTCAGTTGCTATACCCACGATGAAGTGTTGAAATGCAGACCGATGTTCAAATCCCGATGGACGTACATGAACAATCACAAGTCCTGAACCTACGTATGGCGTTTGAATTGAAAAGCCAACCTCCTCGCAAACAATCATACATGTAATCCAGGTCCAGACCAGAAATATGTCATCATACTACCATCCTCACCCCAGTATCGAACATACTATCGTTTTCGCTGGCTGCACCTGGACTGAAACTTAGGCCAAATATGGATATAATATTTGATTTATGGACGTATGTTCTATTCCCGGCAAGCCAATGGTACCTGGCTGATCATCTGGGGTACCATTTGGGCCCGCAGCCCACTACATCTCGTCTGGGCCCACTGCATCTCGTCTCTTCTTCTTACTCTTATAAAGGAAAAAATGCAGGTCTCGCATGATGCTGTCCCGTGAGGACCTTTTGCTTGTTGGCCCGTCGCGGCTGTGTGGGGCGGGGTTCCTCCTCGTGCCAACGCATCGCTTTATTTTTTCTTCCCTGTCTCGGCTGTCGGGGAGGCCGCAGTTTTCTTTCTTGTTTTCCGCTGTTTGGGTCCCCTGTTCATGCTATTTGTCTTTGTCGGTTTGACGCTGCCCCGCACATGTTCGAATACAAGTACATGGCTACGCGATTCCGGACGTGGGTCCACTACCGACATGCACAAAATACCAAAAGTTTGGCGGTGTATCTTCACATATTCTAGCGGGAGACTCAATCTGATTTTGGCACAATCGGTGGTGTCGTTTCACATTTGGCGTGTCTTTTCTTTTGGGGGGGGGGGAACGGCCACGGCCTCGAGATATCATCGTCGAACTGACCAGCCCATGATTCAGATTTGTAGTATTCCACTCATCTGCTTCCAGTGGAGTCCGAACAGAGGTCTGTATATCAACAGTTCTTGGGGGTACCTATTCGACCCTGCACGTGGGGTGTACCAATTTGACTCTGCACGTGGGTTGTACCAATTTGACTCTGCACGTGGGTTGTACCAATTTGACTCTGCACGTGGATGTCCCACTATTCACATGCATGGGAAGCAGAAGGCAACGCCGGCCCACACACATGTTTGAATACAAGTACATAGATACCCTGATTGTGGATGCGGACCGAATGCACAAAATGTCAAAATTTTGGCCGTGTATCTTTCCATGTTCTAGTGGGAGATTCATTCGTTTTGCACATTTGTATCATTTCACATTTGGTGTGTTTTTTTTTTTTCTTGGGAAGGTTGTCATCGAACTGACCGCGTATCTTCCCATGTTCTAGCGGGAGATTCATTCTCAGACATTTGGTATCGTTTCACATTTGGTGTTTTTTTTCTTCTTTTTTTTTGGGAAAGAGCCACGGCCTTGAGATATCGTCATCGAACTGACCGGCCCTGGGTATTTCGGATTTGTAGTATTATTTCACTCATCTGCTTCCCATGGAGTTTGAACACGGGTCTGTATTTCAACAGTTCAGGGGTGTACCAAGTTACAAACTCGGTTTCGCATGTGGATGCCCTACTGGCCACTTGCACCAAACGAAAAGAAGTGGTGGTGTATCTTCCCATGTTCTGGCGGAAGATTCATTCTCATTTTGCACGTTTGGTAAGTCAGGGCTCCGCTTTTTATTTTCTCCGAGGGGCGGCATCGTCCTTTTTCCCTTGGAGGGTGGGGGTCGGTGGTGGGGGGGGGGGGGGGGGAGGAAGGGGGTCGAGCCATGCAGCCCACATACCATCACCGGCGCTTGTTATTTGCAAATATCCAGTCTCAGGCAGTGGTGCTTTCAGGTCCGAAACGGACCCTGGGCCTGATGGCTCAAAAGCAAGCGCTAGGTAAAGCTTTGCTGCTTTCACATGTATGAATTAGGACTGACTTGACCCTTATGGCCCTTATGGTTCTCCTTTTTTTTTCTTGAAAAAAAAGAAAAAGATAGTTTGTTTTCCTAGGGCCATTCCTGGGGTGTTGGCAGCAGAATGGGGTTATTCCTGGGGTGTTGGCAGAGCCACACGACCTGCCATCTTCACCCAAATAGAACGCCTGGTCAGTATCTCTGCATCTTGACTGGAAGCCGCCCCAAATACTGTTATAATGACCAGGCGTTCTATTCGGGTGAAGACGGTAGCTTACAGAAGAAGAAGACTATGGAGAAAGTGTGAGGCTTCTGATGGCATACTCACACTGGGACTTTTCTGAATCTCTCTGGCAGCAATCATAGTCGTCATACCTGGATGTATTTGACCACAATCATGTCCAGAGAGCTCATTCAAAAAACTCCTTGCGTAATTATGCCCTGATACTTTTCACAAACAGCACGATACGGGGAGGGGGGGAAACTTTATTCGAGTAAAAAGTACTAAGAACTGTAAACTAGGAATTTGCGCCCGACACGGTTGAGAGAGTAATGGGCTGAGAGGATCACAACAACAGTGTCTGAGGTAGGACAGAAAAACACCAGAAAAAGACAAAGTTAAAGCACCAGTACAGACCACATATCGGCCCGCAGGTGTTGGCATGAAACCCGCACCACTTCGGAGGCCGCCAATTTTTATTTTCAACGGCGAGCCTGGCCACATGGCGTTTTGCTTGTGGCGACAAAAACTTTCTGCAAGGCTGGGGCCGTGTACTAGCGGTTAAAGACGTAAAAAACTTGAAACGTTGGGGGAGGAGCAGAGACGTGAGGGGCAATGTCAGAGACGGGAAGGGGATGAAGGAGAACAGTGAAGAACAGAACCGAAAAGACAGTGCCTGTTACATCTTCGACGCCACACGGGTCCTACCGGACCCGACTTAGGGCTAGAGGGACACATCAGGGCCTAAAGCCCCGACCTTGGGGGTACTACAGGCCATAAAGGCCTCACCTTGGACCAGACCCGACGGGCAGGCCCAAACGACGTTACCGTTTGGGCCTGGCGGCGCTCTTGAGGCTGCCGCCCGCCGGTTGGGGCTGAACCGTCCATCTGGACGGTTCAGGGCACGGCCAGGCCTCACAGCATTGAGGCCGGCCTCTGCCCCACCGGTATATAGAACCGGTCCAGCCTCAGTCCAGCATCGACCTACCGGCATTCTACCGGTACGGTATGGTACAGTGCGATACAGCGCTGGCGCTAAGTTTAGCGCAGGAGCAGCGAGGAGCAGCAGCGCAGCAGCAGCGCAGCATTAGCGCAGCAGCAGCGAGCGAGCAGCAGCAGCAGCGACTGGGTGTGCCGGCGGCCATAGCCGCCTGAGGTATCGGGAGTTGGAGGCCTCTCTCCTCCCTCCCCTCGCCAGTCCCCTCTCTCTCTCTCTC